GGCAAGCAGCAGCAGCAGACGTGGCGGGGGGCTGCGGGGTGCTGCTGCAGCAGGTGCAGCAGCAGCACGAGGCACGCCGCAGCAGCGTGGCGGCAGCAGCCGCTGCGCTGCAGGCGCTGCCGGGGGTGCGGGGGGCGGAGGGCGAGGCGCTGCAGCAGCTGCTGCAGCAGCTGCTGCAGCAGCAGCTGCTGCTGCAGTTCCACGCAGAGGAAGCAGAACAGCTGCAGGACTTGTGGGGCAGCGGACTTGTGCTGGCGGAAGCTGTAGTTCGGGAGCGGTCTGTGGGGAACCTTGGGGTGTACGTACAGCAGCTGCGCGGGGAACTCGATTTGCTGCAGGCTTTTTGCTTCCTTGTTGCTGACGGAATGGAAGCAGCATCTCCGCAAGGAAGGCGGACGCTGCAGCGAATAATATCCAAAAAGGAGTCGGTTTTCGCGAAGTTCTCGCTGCTGCTGCAGCAGGAGCGGCGGCTGCAGCAGCAGCAGCAGCAGCAGCAGCAGCAGCAGCCGGACACTGCTGCGGTCGTTGCTGCGGACGCGGAAGTTGCTGCTCTGGCCAAGGAAGTGTGGGCTGCTGCTGAGGGCTGTTTGGGGGAAGTGAAGGCAGCAGAGCTGCTGCTGAGTTCGCGGGAAGCAGCGCAGCAGCAGGCGGTGCAGCACCTGCAGCAGCGCGCAGCAGCAGCAGCAGAAATGCTGCAGCAGGCGCACAAAGACCTCGAAACTGCTGCGCAGCGCATGCAAAAAGAGTTCACGGGCCTCGTGCTGCTGCTGCCCGAAAGCGTCGAAAACATCTCCGGAGAAAAGATTGCAATGCAAGTCCTGGGGGAACTCCAGGACTTGCAACTTTTCATGGAAAAAGTTCTAGAAGTTACTTTTAAAGAGTCCCAAACTCTGAACAAAACTAAGTCTTTTCCCTTTGCATGCAGACTCGCTCGCGCGGTCTTCCAGGGGGCAGCGCGGGGTGTCAAGACACTCGCGGGAGCTGCTTCTCTCAAGGGCAGATTTGTTCTTTACCATTTGGTGGAGTCCGACATTGCCCAGAGTGCAGACGCGCTGGCCCACGCGCAGCAGCAGCAGCAGCTGCTGCAGCAGCAGCTGCAGCAGCTGCAGCAGCAGCTGCAGCAGCCGGGCGCGCGCGAGGGCGCCGCCGCGCCCGCGGACCCGCAGCAGCAGCGGCTGCTGCAGCAGCAGCAGTACCTGCAGCGGCTCCTGCAGCAGCTGGAGGAGCTGCTGCAGACCGCCAGGGAAGCACAAACTGCAGCAAGCAGTGCCACGAGGCTGCAGGAGTTCGCAGAAGCAGGAACCGTGATGCACAGAGCAGCAGCAGACGCGCAGCTGCTGCTGCTGCAGCACAAGGTCCAGGAGGAACTCAGTGGGGAAGCAGCAGAAGACACCTCGCAGCAGCTGCAGCAGCAGCAAGAAGACGACAACATGCTCAAACTCAGTGACATTGAGCCCATCATAACTCCCGAGTTCGTGCAGGGATTGGTCCGCAGGCAGCAGGAGAAGCTGCTGAGGGAGCAGCAGCAGCTGAGGGAGCAGCAGCAGCAGCAGCAGGAAGATGGTGATGTTGACTTGAGACTTGAAGATGCCTTCTCCAGTGAAGATGGTGATGACGAAGAAGAATCCGACGAAGAAAACAGAACCTCCATATAGCAGCAGCAGCAGCAGCAGCAGCAGCAGCAGAAGTGCCAGCAGCAGCAGTAGCAGTAGCAGCAGCAGCAGCAGGAACTGCTGAAGTTTGGAGGCAGAGTAGGGAGGGTGTAAATGAGTTTCGGGTGTATAGACAGACAGCGTAGGGAAGGTCTTAATTTGTTGGATTGGAGGTGTCTGTACACCGCAGCGCACAGTGCAGAACCAGCAGCAGCAGCAGCAGCAAGGGCAGCAGCAGCAGAAGCTGCGGCTGCCACACGTGCTGCAGCGAATGCAGCGAATGGAGCTACTAGCAGCCGCAGCCGCAGCTGCGGCTGCTGCTGCAGCTGCTACTACTGCTGCAGCTGCGGCTGCAGCAGCGGCAGCTGCTGCTGCTGCTGCTGCGCAGGAACAGGCGGCAACAGCAGCAGCAAAAGAAAGCGTCTTGTTCTCTAGTAATAAAAAGAACAAAAAAGTAAAAGGCGAAGTGCGGAGACAATCTTCTCTGTTGGCCAAACGAAGTGTGCAGAGAAATGGCCGCGAAGGAAAGAAAGATATAAATATATTGAATATATATTTGTATTTCCGCTGTGTCGCATGCATGCAGAGGGGGGGTGTGTGTACACCCCGCTGCATGCGCAGCGCACGGCCGCGGTGTCTGTACACTCCAAGATCCGTTTTAAGTGTGTACTGCAGATAAACGCATTGTTCATAAATACATTTAAAATGGATCTTTTCTTTGTCGGACTTGATTGCAAATATCCTTTCCCTCGGCTTGCCTTTTTTTCAGTCAGGGAAAAAGCCGAAAAGTGCCTTTAGGAGCTTCTGTGCGCGCGGCTGTACTTCGCATGCAATAAATGTGAAGTATGTGTTTATAAATGAATAAATGTGTTTAGTTAGAAGTATTTGTCTCAGAAATGCTCGAAAATATACTTTTGTGTCTATATTCATATACATGTATCGGCACTTATGTGTTTATACGCGTATGTGGGATATGTGCATGCATGCATTCGGGTGTACGTACAGCGCACTGCCCGTTAATGTGAACTGCCCGTTCGGACTTTTTGGAAAAGTTCGGACTGAGAAAATAATAAATGAAATAAAATGCGGAATGCATGCGGGCAAAGCTGGGGGCTTGTGCATGCAAGGAAAAGGCCAGAAAGCAGTCCCGCGCATGCATTATCCAGCAAATTCCGTGGAATATAATCAAAAAAGATAAAACAAATAAAATATAAATAAAACGAATAAATTAAATGGCACTTTTCTTTTTGTTTTGGTTTGTTTTTGCGGAATTGGCAGATTGGGAGGCGTGCAGTGAGGTGTACGTACACCGCAGAGTTCGAACTGGCTGTCTTTGTTAATGCAGTTCTTTCTCTTGTCGCTGCTGCACACAAATTCCAAAACCATAAGAAGTACCTTTATTATATATATATATATACATGTATATGCATATATATATGAGTGTATATATATGTATATATACATATATATATATATGTCCAAAATATATATATGTGAAGATGTATATATGTATAAACAACTATATGTATGTGTGTATATATGCGTATACATATGGATATTTATGTACATACAAAAATATATGTATATATGGGTATATATATATATATGTGTATCTATATATGTATGAATATGCATGCATATAGATATATATATATATATTAATATATACATATATATCTATATGCATGTATATACATACATGTTTATATGTATATAAATACATGTATATCTATATATATTTATGTGTATAATTTAGCATGTATATATATGGATGGCGAAATGCAATGTAAAAGGGTGTTGGCTGATTTATATTTATTCAATTATTCATGTGGATTTGTAAAATGTGCCTCTGCATGCAAATGCCCAGCAGTTTCTTCGTCAGTTTGAGGTGTATGTACACCTCAGCGCCGAATGCGGGGACCACTCGAGGCGCCTTTCGGGTGTACGCACACTTGAATTGAGAAGCGCATTTTAGGCAAATGTGCCCTCTAGGGGAAGCTTATAAAGAAGCTCGAAATAAAGAAATTAATTGCAAATTCTTTCCCTAAAAGGGCTTCTTAAAAAAGCCTTTAAAGGGCATTTTCTGCAAATGCGGGGTGTATATACACTGAAAGGTCCCTTGAATGTTTCATGTTTTATTTTTTTACTGGCTTTTATGTTGTTATTTATGCTTATTATGCATTTTCTTTTTGAACATTTTCAATTTATCGTGTTTGACATTATATCCAGAATATTTATTTGTTTTGAACGTTTTGTTTGTTTATTTGCATTTTATGTTGCATGCATTTATATTCATTTACATGTATCATATTATGGATTATATTATATGAGTTATATGTATTTACATGAATTCTATGTGTGTTCAATTATATATATATATATGTGCATTTATATGTGTTTGTGTGTATTATGTTTCCGTGTGTTTATTTTTATTCATTTATATTCATTTAATTTATATTTATTATATATCCCAGCCATTATGTGTGTTTATATATATTGCATGTATATATATGTGTATTCCATTATAGGTAATATAAATATACATATACATATTATATATATATTATCTAATATATACATACATATAAGTGTTAGGTATATGCGACATAATGTCTGTATATATATTATATATATTGTATATATATATAAATATATATATATATGTGGCGCATCTTTTGGCGCTTTTGTTGAATTGCTTTTTAATGATAAAGTGCATTTAATGTTTATTTAGAAAGTACTTTTTAAAATGAAATGCTTTTGATGCTATGTGGAATTGTGCAGAATGCCTTTCAGTGAGAAAGTGGGTTTTCGGTGAAGTGCTAAAGTGTAGCCTTCGGGTGTACGTACACCTGGGGTGGAGTGCATGCGTTCAGGTGTACGTACATTGAGACAAAGCGGTGCTGTACATGCAAAGTTGAAGTTATTTGTGGTGTATTCAGTGCTTTTTATGGAGAATAAAGTGCAATTAAATGGTTATTTATATTAATAATTTTATTTAGAGTTTGCATTTCGAAATATTTATTCTGAAATCCATTTATTGCATGCAGCTGCCTCTCAAGTTTGTTGTGGCGCGGCAGTAAATTTAGTTAAGTGTTTTTTGGAAATCTTTGTTTGCTTCTATCCTTTTCATTCTTTTTATTCTTTTATTCATTTTGTCTTTTTTATTCTTTTTATTGTTTCTGTTATTCTTTTTATTCTTTTTTCCCTTTTGCCCTTTGCTCCTGTGTCTTCGCGAGCTTCTTTGGAGGATTTCCTCTTTTTAATTCGACGAGTTTATTTATTTCTTTGTTTCTTTTATTCGTTTATTTCTTTTACTTCTTTTATTCTCTTATTTCTTTTATTCTATTTATTTATATTTGCGATTAGTCTCATTATTACTCCTCATTTCTTTATTATTTATTTATCCTTTTAGCTTCCCAGACGCGCGCGACTCAACTTTCGAGATTTAGTTTGAATTCTAAGAACGTTTGAATTCTGAAGAGTTTGAAGTCTAGAAGTTCGAATTCTGAAAACCATTTTCTATTCTTTTTGGTAATTTAAATGAAAAAAGAAATTAGCGGAAGATAAGCGCAGTTTCGGATATTCTTTTTCTCGATTTTTTCCACTTCAGAACGGGACCTCCTCAGGGGGAGCCCTTGCGCGCGGGAAGTTGGGATTTTAGCGGCCAATATTAGGAAATTCGTAGTTTTCCATGAATTGAAAATAAATAAATAAATAGTTTTGAGTGTTGAAGGCTTTAACTCGAGTTTCGAGGGTTTGGTTCCGGCGGTGTTCGGGTGTCTCGACACTTGGCAGACCTGAGCACCAGCTGGGCGTGTGCAACCTTGGCGAAAAATGGATCAAAAAAATTAATTTTGGACTTAAAAAGATTGAAATTGAATTTAATTTGCATATTAAGCTCTAAATCGCGTTGAAAAACGCCTTTTCCCCAGAAGCCGATGCTGCTAGGGAGTCTGCAGCCCCGTGGGCAGCCGCCGGAGGCCCCGCGGGCGCTGTTCTCTCGATTTCGCGTTGTTTTGAAGATCTTTTATTAATATAAGAGTTTAAATTCAAAAGATTTGAATTATTTGAATTATTTAATCAATTTAGAGCCTTTTTTCCCCTCCAGATCCAGGGGCCGCGCCGGCCGCCCCGCCTGCTGGGGCCCCTCCCCACAAACTCTTTGCAGTTTTTGCTGCGCAGCTCTAAACCTTTTTGAATTTCTTTTTTCTTTTTTCATTTTCAAAAATGGAGCTCGGAGGACTGAAGGTCAAGGTGAGTTTCAAGCTGCTGCTGCTGCTGCTGCTGCTGGTGGGTCTGCTGCTGCTGCTAGATTTGCTGCTGCTGCTCCTTCTACGAAGAAACAGCTCAGAAAGAGTGCAGATTCTCCGGCAGCAGCTTAGAAGCCAAACCCTAAACGCTCCTGAGGGTTTCCGAGAGTTTAGTCTCCCTGTCCTGGAGCCCAGGGTTTAGGGTTTAGGGTTTAGGGTTTAGGGTTTAGGGTTTAGGGTGTAGCGTCTGCAAACCGGCTTTCTTCCCCCCATAAATCCGCATGCAAACCCGGCGTCCCCCTCCCGCACCCGCCGCGCAGGGCCCGACCGAGCCAGGGTTCAGGGTTTAGGGTTTAGGGTTTAGGGTTTAGGGTTTAGGGTTTAGGGTTTGGGGCTCAGGACCTGGCGCCGGTGCTGTCTGCGGGGGCCCTGATCGACGTGTGCCTCTCCAAGACGCAGCGAAAGACTCCGACGGAAATCCACAAGCGCAGCAGCATCAATTTAATTCGCAAGTTTTATATTCGCAAAATCAAAACTGCTGCGCAGTTCTTCACCGAGAAGTTGAAGGCAATCACTTCCCTTTTTCCCAGACTCGAGGTCCGCCGCTGCTGCTGCTGCTGCTGCTGCTGCTGGGGGTGGTGGCGGTGTGGTGGGGGTGCTGCTGCTGTTGCTGCTGCCGCTGCTGCTGCTGCCGTTGCTGCTGCTGCTGCTGCTGCCGCTGCTGCTGCTGCCGTTGCTGCTGCTGCTGCTGCTGCTGCTACAGCAGCAGCGAAGCTGTGGAGCGGGTGCGTGCGCAGAGTCTGCATCCGTTTTACGGGGACTTGCTGAACATTTTGTACGACAGAGACCACTACAAGTTGGCGCTGGGCTCTGTTGCTGCTGCAGCAAATCGAATAGAAAAGATTTGCAAAGAATACATCACAATTTCCAAGTACTCCGACTCCCTCTACAAGTCCAAGTGTCTCAAGACCGCGGCTCTCGGCAGATATTGCACAGGCGAGCAAACAACCCCCTTTTCCCCTAAAAGAGTCGCTTTTTCTTTTTTTTCCCGCTCAATTTGTTCATTTTATCTTTTCCATTCTTTTATTGCTTTCGGGTTTGCTTTTATTCCGCTTTTTCCCGCCTTTTTGCGTCGGAGAAACCGCTTTTTTCGCCGAGACTGCTCTTGGCGAATCTGGGGTCTTGAGTCGAGCTTTTTTCTAGATTTTGCATGGCAAATACTAGATTTATTCCAGTTTTATTGTTTCCGCGGGGTTTTATTCGTTTTTCTCGTCATTCTGACGCGAAATTCCCTTTTTTCCGGTTCTCGAGGTGTTTGTACACCTGGCGGCGTTCAGGTGTACAGGCAGCTCCGGTTTTCAAATTGCAGTGCAGCGCCTGACTTCGATGTTATTTGAACTATTTTTTTTTGTCGGATTTAACTTGAGTTTTATTCTTCATTTATCATTTCAAATATTTTCCACTCTTGCATTTCAGCCGCAGATCGCTCGCTAGATGCCACTTGAGAAGTTCAAGTTTCCGTCGGCAGCTGTGCATTCCGCAGCGGTTTCTGCATCTTTTTTGCAAGTTTTGAATTCCTTTTGAACTAGTTTTGAATAAATTTGAATAAATTTGAATAAAATTGGCGAATTTGCGTTCATTTGGGGGCGCAGTGGTGAAGAAGCTGGGGAAGGTGTTCGAGTACCTGGAGGAGGTGCGGCAGCACCTGCAGCGGCTGCCGAGTGTCGAGACAGCGCAGCGAACTTTGCTGCTCGCGGGATTTCCAAATGTTGGCAAAAGTTCTTTTGTAAATAAACTTTCCAACGCCAACGTCGAAGTCCAGCCCTTCGCCTTCACCACCAAGAGCCTCTTCGTCGGCCACTTCGACCACCTCTACGCCCGCTGGCAGGTCCGTGCTGCTGCGCTGCTGCTGCTGCTGCTGTGCTGCTGCTGCTGCTGCTGCGCTGCTGCTGCTGATGGGTGGCTGCGCTGCTGCTGCTGTGGTGCTGCTGCTGATGGGTGGCTGCGCTGCTGCTGCTGTGGTGCTGCTGCTGATGGGTGGCTGCGCTGCTGCTGCTGTGGTGCTGCTGCTGATGGGTGGCTGCGCTGCTGCTGCTTTGGTGCTGCTCTCGTGCTGCGCTGCTGTTTTGCTGCTGCCGCTCTGCCGCTGCTGCTGCTGCTGCTGCTGCAAGTAGGAAATAGTTTTAATTCATTTAATTGTTTTAATTAATTTGTTTTTTGATTTTAAGGTGATTGACACTCCGGGAATTTTGGACCATCCTCTCGAAGAAAGAAATTTAATCGAAATGCTCGCCGTGGCGGCGCTGACGCATTTGAATGTAAATTAAATTAAATTGAATTAAATTAAATTGAATCAAATAAATAATTAAATTGATCAATTAATTAATTAATGTAAATAATAAATGTATAGATGTACTTGTCAGCTAATTAATTCGTTAGTTGCGTTAAATTGGGCTGCTGCTGAGTGGTTTGCTGCTGTTGCTGCTCTTGCTGCTCTTGCTGCTGCTGCTTTTTTAAATTTGTTTTTCGATTATTTCGAAATTATTCCCTTATGGATTAACTAATGAATTAAATCACTTAAATTAATTAATCAATTTATTAGTTATTTGCTCTATTTATTATTCACTTATTTTGCTGCTGCTGCTGCTGCTGCTGCTGCAGTGCGTGGTGCTGTTTCTGGTGGACGTGAGCGAAGAGTGCGGCTATTCGCTGCAGCAGCAAATTCAACTTTTCAAAAACATTTTAGTTTTATTTAAAAAAAAACCAAAACTTCTCATTCTTAACAAAACGGACAAACGCCCGCTGCAGCAGCTGCAGCAGGAGGAGCAGCAGCTCCTCAAAGACTTGGAAAAGGGTCCGCCGCGCTTTTGCTGCTGCTGCTGCTGCTGTATCTGCTGCTGCTGCGTTGCTATGGCTGCTGCTGCGGCTGCTCTTGCTGCAGCTCCTGCGTCTGCTGCTTTTGCTGCTGTTGCTTCTACTGCCATTGCTGTTGCTGTTCTCGCTTCTGCTCTTGCTGCTGCTGATGTGCTGCTGCTGTTGCTGCTGCTGCTGCAGAGACCGACGTGTGTATTGCTGCCACTTCGACGCTGACTGGAGAGGGTCTAGACGAAGCAAAGAATAAGGCCTGCGAGTTGCTGCTGCAGCAGCGGCTGCTGCGGCGCGCAGCAGCAGCAGCAGCAGCTGACCCTGCTGCTGCTGCGGCTGCTGCTGCTGCAGCAGGCGACCAGCCCCTCGCTGCTGCTGCTGCTGCTGCTTCGCTCGCCATCAAGGGACCTGCTGCAGCAATGCTGCATGTCTCTACAGTGCAGCAGCCGCGAAAGCCAAATATACCAGAAAGCGTTTTAAGAGAAATCGAACTCAAGAAGGTACCTGCTGCTGCTGCTGCTGCTGCTGCTGCTGCTAGTCTTGTTGCTGCTGCTCGCGGTGCTTCTGTTACTGCTGCTGCTGGTGTTTCCATATACGTTGGTGCTTTTGCGTTGCCGGTGGTGGCTTTCCGGCGCTGCTGCTGCTGCCGCTTCTGCTGCTGCTGCTGCTGCTGCTGCTTCAGGGTTTTGGCAGTTTGTGAACTCTAAGTTGCTTCTTCTCAAAACCCTAAACCCTAAACCCTCGAGTTTATTTGCTTCTTGCTGCTGCAGCAAGGAGTGGTGCTGCCGCGGCGGCGGCTCGAAAGAGATATAGAAGAAGAAGAGGGAGGGCCTGGGGTTTACAACTACGACATTCGCAGTCCGCTAAACCCTAAACCCTAAACCCTAAGGGCTAAACCCTAAACCGTAAACCCTAAGGGCCAAGCCCTAGGGCCTGCGCTGCAGGCGGCGGGTCTGCGGGGTTGCTTCGGGGAGCTGCTGCAGCAGCGTGGCTGCCCGCGTCGCTGCAGCTGCTGCTGCTGCAGTTGCTGCTGCTGCTGCTGCTGCTGCTGCTGCTGCTTGTAGAGGACTACATTTTGGAAAAAGAAGAATGGCGTTATGACATTCAACCCGAATTCTTAAATGGAAAAAATATCGGAGACTTTTTAGATCCCGACATTAAAGAAAAGCTGATGAAGCTGGAGGAGGAGGAGCAGCAGCTGCTGCAGCAGGAGGAGCAGCAGCAGGAGCAGATTCAGGCGAGGGTTTAGGGTTTAGGGTTTAGGGTTTGGGGGGTTCTGGGTGAATGCTTGTCTGCGGTTTTCTCAACTGCTAGCTGCTGCTGCAGTTTCCTTTGTTCTGGTTTTTTCGCTGCTTCTGCTGCTTGATCGTTCTTGCTGCTGCTGCTGCTGCTGCTGCTGCTTTACTGTTTTCCTGTCCCCTGGTTTCTTTCTCACTGCTTCTGTGGCTGCTGCTGTTTATCACAAGTGCTGCGGAATCCCCTGGTATTTTAGTTGCTGCTGCTGCCCCGCTGCTGCTGCTGCTGCTGCTGCTGCTGCAGAAAAAAACTGCTGCTGCTTGCTGCTGCTGCGCCACCGTGTTGCGTTGTGTGTTGCTGGTGCTCCAAAGAAATGCTGCTGCTGCTTGCTGCTGCTGCTGCAAAGAAGCGCGACTGCTCCTTGCTGCTGCTGCTGCAGCTGGAAACAAACGGTGCTGCTGCTGCTGCTGCTTCTGTTGCTGTCTGCAGCAGCAACTCGCGAACTTAAAAGCAGTGAGGCAGAAGCTGCAGCGGCTGCACAGAGGAATAAGTCAAAAGCGAATGGAAGCAAAATTGAAAAAGAAAAGAAATGGACCTCGGCTGCTTAAGAAGACAGTAAGTTTTATTTTATTTATTTTATTTTATTTTGTTTTGTTGTTGGATTTTAATTCTTTTTTCCCTTTCATTTCTTTCTGCGTTTCTTCTCCCCCTTTATTCATCTTTTCGCCCTTTTCTGATTCTTTTTGTACTATCTTTTTATTCTTTTTTATTTTGATTTTCTATTTTATTTTTATTTTATTATTTGCTTTTTTTCCTTTTCGCTCTTTTGACTCTTTGTTCATTTTTAGTTCTTTTTTGTCTTTTTCGTTTTTTTTCCTTTTTGATCTCACTTCCATTTTTACTTTTTATTTTATTTTATTATTTGTTTTTTATTTATTTGTTTATTTGCATTTTAATTTCATTTAACTCTAAATAAATAAGTGGATTTTTATTTTGCTGCTTTGCTGCTGCAGAAGCACCAGCTGGAAGCAGCACGGAGGGCTTTGAGGGAAGAAGAAATAAATTTGGATGGAGTGAAAAGACAAAAGAGAAAACGAGAAGCTTCAGATAGTCCGCAAACCCTAAACCCTAAACCCTAAACCCTGATTTCAGCGGCGCCGGCCGCCGCTTTCCCCCCCCTCTGAGCCCCCGCGCGCCGCCCGAGGGCCTAGGGTTTAGGGTTTAGAGCCTGGGGCTTGGGGTTTGCTCAGAGCCGAGTGTTTAGGGTTTAGGGTTTAGGGTTTAAGGTTTAGGGTTTAGGGTTTGGGCGCAGGCATGGAGGTGGAGGGCTCGGAGCGGGAAAAGCTGAGGGCGAAGATTCGGCGTTTGGTGAAGTCTCGGGAAAAGGAAACGAAAGAAAGAAAAGAACTAAAAGAAAGAAAAGGGTTAAAAGAAATAAAAGAATTAAAAGAATTAAGAGAATTGAAAGATCTGAAAGAAGAAGAAGAACTCGAGGAGTCCGCAGTGGCGCGCGGCCAGCGGCGCAGACTCGGAGGTGTACGTACAGCTCAGGCCTTCAAGTTGAAAAAACAAATCGACAAAAAACTAAAAGGAAGAAAAGGAGAGTCCGACAGATTTATAAATGTGAAAAAGCAGAAGTGGATGCTTTCTGGAAAAAGGACTTTGGGGAAAACAAACAAGAGATGAACCCACGAAAAAGGGTTTCCTCCAGACCCGACTTCTTTGCTTTTTCATTAATTGCTTTTTTGCTCTTTGGGCTTTTCGTTTTACCTCTCTTTGTTGTTCTTTAGTTCTTTGTTTTTTGCTTTTTGTTTTGTTTGTTTCAGTTGTCTTTTTGCTTTTAGTTGCTGGTTAGTTTGCTCGCAGGCGCAAAAACGCGAGGGTTTAGGGTTTCCTAAACCCTTAACCCTAAGGCGCCCAAACCCTAAACCCTAAATCCTAGAGAACCCTCAAACCCTAAACCCTGCATTTGCTCCGGTACAAATTATTCCGCAAGAAGATAGTTTTAGATATACTTCTAATTGTATTTATAAATATCCTTATTTACATTTTGCAGTAGTTATATTTATAAATGTATTTAGTTTTTTTATTTTCTAAGAACTAGAGTTTACAGAAAAGAGAAAGAAGACACAAGACGAAAAAAGTTGACGTCTGCTCGGGTGTACATCCAGCAAAGACGAGTTTTGTTCATTTGTTTTTATTTTCTTTTTTTTATTTCTTTTAATGTTTCCCTGTCGTTTCGACACAAATGAAAGTATTCTTTTCATTTATTTTTCCAAATCTGAATTTTTCATTTCACTTTCCTATTTATTGCGCGCCCGCCGCTTTCCCGCTCCGCCTTGAGGTGTATGTACACCTGAACGGCCGCGCGGCCCTGAGGTGTACGTACACCTCAGCAATGTGGGGCGTGCATGCATGCGAATTAAATGACGGAGGAACTTTTATTTTGGAATATTCAAATGTGTGCGGGCCTCAATTCGACGCGGTGTACGTACACTTCATTTGACCGCGGGGAAGGCGCGTCGGCCAGCTAAGGTGTACGTACACCCCAGCTGGCCGAGGTGTACGTACACCTCAGTTCCCCGGGGTGTACGTACACCTCAACGCTGCGCTAAGCGCCGCCCCAACAAGTCCGCGGCAATTCACTAAAGACTATAAATCCACTTGGAAGCAATTTTGCAGCAGCAGGGGCCGCTGCGGCTTGCATGCGCTGCGGTGTACGTACACCTCAGCTGCGCTGCGGTGTACGTACACCGCAGCTGCGCTGCGGCGTGCGCATGCGCTGCGGTGTACGTACACCTGGCGATTGAGGGGCCTCAGAGCTCGTCGTGGAGAGGCGAAGAGTCCTTTGTTTGCATTTCATTAATTGGAGTTTCTCTTAATTTCATTTTTTGCATTTCTTTTTCATTTAATTGCTGCTTTTCCTGCAGCTCCTTTTCTATTATGTCCGGCAGCAGCACCAGCAGAATGCCAGTGGTCCACGAGACTTCATTTCCGTTAATCTGCAAAACAAGAATTCAAAATTAATAATTCAAAATTAATAATTCAAAATTAATAATTGATATAAACATTTGAAAGTTAATAATTCAAAATAAATAATTCACAGTAAATAATTCAAATAAGCAATTTAATTAGCATTTCAATAAAACGCATCTTCCAATTAATTAATCAACCACTGATCAAACATTTGATCAATAAGTTAATTAACTAGTTAGTTAATTAATTAATTAATTAATTAATTATTAAACAGCTAAGTGCCCACGCAGCAACAGAGGATTTTCGCTATTTTCGCTTATTTCACAATTAGCTGTTGATTAGTTCACTGAAAAAATGCAAAACTGATTTTTTAGTCATAAATGAATTAAAAGGCTGAATTATTAAATTAAATTCTTTTAAACAATTATTTTGAATTCAAACTGCTGTCGGCAGTTCGCCGCTTTGGCTTTGGGGTGTTTGTACACCCCGCGGGGTGTCGCCGCGACCCCAAAGTCAATTTTTTTTTCTCATTTTAATTTCTTACTTCATTTACTGCTGCCAGCTGCCGCTTTTCGTCTATTTGAAGAACGTCGGAAAGAAAATGAGACATCAGCACCAGCCTGTAGAAAGGATTTCCAAAAAGGAAAAAAAACAAAAAAGACAGTTCCTTTCTCAAATTTTCAAATTTAGAAACATTTGCATGCAAAGATGCATCTAAATGGAAACACTGGACACTGCATGCATTCTAAATGTATTATAAGCCTTCTTTCTTGGATTTTATTACACTTTATGCATTACACCTGCTACAGAATATGTGCTCCAGCAGCAGCAGCAGCAGCAATAGCAGCAGCAGCAATAGCAGCAGCAGCAGCGGACATCCAGCCGAAGCAGCCCGCTTGTGCCTCTCCTGCTGCAGATGCATGTACGCAGCAGCAGCAGCAGCAGCAGCAGCAGCAGCAGCAGCAGCAGCAGCAGCAGCAGCAGCAGCAGCAGCAGCAGCAGCAGCAGCAGCAGCAGCAGCAGCAGCAGCAGCAGCAGCAGCAGCAGCAGCAGCAGCAGCAGCAGCAGCAGCAGCAGCAGCAGCAGCAGCAGCAGCAGCAGCAGCAGCAGCAGCAGCAGCAGCAGCAGCAGCAGCAGCAGCAGCAGCAGCAGCAGCAGCAGCAGCAGCAGCAGACCCGAAGCAGCCCGTCTGGGCCTTTTCTGCTGCTGCAGAGGCATGGATGTTTTTCAAAACTTCTTTGGAGTCTTTTAATCCGCAAAGAGTTTTCGCCCGCGACAAAAAAGAAGACACAGAAAAGCGCGGGGCTGTGGGGGCCTGGACTACATACTGCAGACACAAAACGCAAAACTTCATTCTTTTCTTTCAATTAAATCCTATGGTTTTCAGCAGCAGCAGCAGCAGCAGCAGCTGCTGCTGCTGCTGCTGCGGCAGCTAAATCTTGATCCTTTCTTGCTTTTGTTTGAGGCCAAAACACTTTAATTCGAGCGCTGAGCAGCTGCAGCAGCTGCAGAAGCTGCTGCAGCTGCAGCAGCGACACCGGTGCTGCTGCTTAAATAATTAAAAAAATACATGATTATTTAATCAATTAATTATTATATAATTAATTGATTAATCAATTAATTAATTGAATAATTAATTAATTATATATTATTTAATTATTTAAGTAATTAATTAAAATTCTTTCCTGATTAAAGTGGAAATAATTTTCTGTTGCGTAAATTTGCATTTCGGGCGGCAGCGGAAATGGCAGAGTTTCATGAGGCTCCCAAGAAGCTGCAACATCCTGAAAATAAAATAAATAACATAAATAACATAAATAACATAGAATTAATTAATTAAAGTAAATAAATTAAAATAAATTAAATTAAATTGATTAATTAAAATAAATTAATTGAAATAAATGGGTTGAAATGAACTAAAATGCACTAAAATTCACTAAATAATTAATTAAAATGAATTAAAACGAATTAAATTGAATTCAAGCTTATTATATTATTAATTAAAATGAAATAATTGATTTAAATTAGTTCAAATTTGATGAAAAGAATTTAAATGAACAAAAAATGAAATAATTAAATCGGATATGAAGCAAATCCCAATTAAGTGAAATCCTCTAAAAGAGTTTCAATTTAAAATGACTAAATTTATTAAATTGAATTAAATTAAATTAAATTGAATCAAATCAAATGAAACTGAATAAATTAATATGGAATTGAATTAAACGAAATGAAATTAAACAAAATTATATACAATTAAATTAAATTGAACTAAATTAAATGCAAATTTGTCAAATAAAATAAAATAAATTCAATAAAGAAAGAAGTACAGGAAGCCAAAGACGAGATTTTAAACCAGAGTTAATTTTAAAAATAAAATTACTTAAATTAATTAAATTAAATTAAATTAAATCGATTTAATTTAATTTAGTTTAATTTAATTTAATTTAATTTAATTCAATTTAATTCAATTTAATCTATTATATTAAATCAAATTTGATTTAACCAATTTAATATAATTAATTTGATTTAATCTAATTTAATGGAAATCAAACAATAATAATTAAATTAAATTAAAGTAATTAATTTAAATTTAAGTAATTAATTTAACTTAAAGTAATTAATTTAAATTAATCAAATTAAACCAAATTAAATCAAATTAAAACAAACGAAACTACTTAAAGTATATTAAACTCATTAAATTAAACTGATTAAATTAAACCAATCAAATTGGATATAACTAATTAAATTAAACTAATTAAACTAATCAAATTAAACTAATTAAATGAATTAAGTCAAATCAAATTAAATTAGTTAATTAAATTAAATAATAATTAAATAAAGTAAGTAACTAAATTAAACAAATTAAAATAAATAAATTAAATAAACAATTAATTGCTGCAGCAGTCTCACAGCCCTGCAGCCGTGGAAGTCTGCTGCGCCTCTGGCTTTGGTTTTTGTTTTTCTTTTTATTTTTTTTGCTTCTTCTTTTGCAAACTTTTTTATTTTTATTTCATCCATTTCCCGAGTCACAAACTCCCAACTCAACATCTCCACAACCTCCACCTCCTGCTGCTGCTGCTGCTGCTGCTGCTGATTCTGCGTCTCTTGCTGCTGCTGCTGCTGCTGATTCTGCGTCTCTTGCTGCTGCTGCTGCTGTTTCTGCTGCTGCTCGCGTGCCTCCGCCACCCCCGCCCGCTGCTGCTGCTGCTGCTGCTGCTGCTGCTGCTGCTGCTTGCTGCTGCTCCCTTTGCTGCGGCCCTGCGCACTTGCGTCGCTGTGGATGAACTCATCCATCACGAAGTGGCTGCTGCTCAAGTCCAAAGTAAAAGTGACATCTTCTGGAAAGCAAGACAGAGGCGCTTCGTACTCCGGAGAAGACGGCAGCTGTACGTACACCCCAGCGCCCCCAGGGGCCCCAGGGGCCCCGGGGGCCCCCTGGGCCCCGGGGGCCCCCGGGGCCCCTGAATCCCCAGGGGCCCCTGAATCTCCAGGGACCCCTGGGGCCCCTGGGGCTTTGGGGGGCCCCGGAGCCCCGGGGGCCCCGGGGGCCCCGGGGACTCTGGGGGCCCCGGGGGCCCCTGGGGCCCCCTGGGTTGGGGGGAAGGAGAGGGTTTGGGGTTTGGGGGTTTTGGGGTTCGTATTTGGAAAGGGTTTGTGGTGGAGTTCCAAATGGAGGGCCTGGGACTTGTAATGTTCTTTTAAACTCCTCGCAGCAACTCTTACCAGCGCTAGCTGCCGCCCTGAGCAGCAGCAGCAGCAGCAGCAGCAGCAGCAGCAGCAGCGGCAGCAGTAGGGGCTCCCGGGGGGTTTGGGGTTTAGAGTTGGGGGTTTAGGGGCTGGGGTTGGGGTTTAGAGGGTGGGGATTAGGGTTTAGGGTTTAGGGTTTGGGGCTGGAAACGCATGCAGGAATTCAAATGGTTTTCGGGAATTTCGGAAATAAAATATTTCAAAAGAAGAATAATAAATTTAAAAAGTTTTTTGAATTTTCGAAATCAAAAATAAATTGAATGAAACAAAAAGAAAATAAAAGGAAATAAAACAGCAGCAGCACTTTCTGATTAAAGAAAATGGACAAGGAAATAAATTAACGGACAAGTAAATAAATCAAAAACAAATAGATAAATAAAATAAATGAATAAATAAATAAAATAAACAAAGAAATAAATAAAAAAATAGTCGAAATTAATTAAAAATAAACAAATAAATAAATAAATAAAAATAGCATTCCCGAGAAGTCTGCGGTGTATGTACACCTGGTGCATGCGCGGCTGGTGTACGTACACCGCAGCTTACCGAGCCCGAGGTAGCTTTTTGCAAACAAAAGAAAATATTTGTTTTGCAATTTGAGAAGTTTTAAATCTGGATGTCCTTTGACTGGCAGCAAAAAGGGGTTTCCCCCTTCAGCTTCGGGTGTACGTACACCCGAAATCTGCTGCTGCTGCTCCTCCGGCAGCAGCGACAGCGGCAGCTCAAAAACCACCTGCGCTGAAGCTCCCCCCATTTCAATCATTGCTGCTGTGCTTCTCCTATTTGCTGCTGCTGCTGCCTCCCCTCTGCTGCTGCTGCTGCTGCTGCTGCTATCGCTGCTGCTGCGGCTGCTCTCGCTGCTGCTGCTGCTGCCCTCGCTGCTGCTGCTGCTGCTCTCGCTGCTGCTGCTGCTGCTGCTGCTGCTGCTAGTGGTGACCATGAGCAACTGGGGGTCGAGGGCCCCCAAGAGCTGGTTGAGGGCGAGCCAGCCGAGGGCCCCCTCTTCGTGACCTGTCAGTACACCGCAGGAGGCCCCGGGGACAAACTTGAGGCCCCACAAGTTCAGTTTGCTGCAGATTGCATGCAGCAGCAGCTGCTGCTGCTGCTGCTGCAGCGAGCGCAGCCCCGCGGTGCCCCTGAAGAAAAGAAGAGTCTCTGCTCTTTCTGCTGCTGCTGGCACTGCATCAAACACGAACTGCTGCAGCTGCTGTACGTACACCCCAAACGAGCGGCTTTCTGCTGCGTCGCTGTGAAACTGCTCTCCACTTGTTGCCACTTTTTTCTTTTCTTCTTTTTCTTTTTCTTTTTCCTTTTCTTTTTCTTTTTCCAACTCCAGGTCTTCTGCTCCAAAGTCGTCAAAGTTGTCCACAAAAGCTGTCACTCCGGGGCTTATTCGCTTCGTTGCTGCTGCTGGCAGTTCCACCTGCAGCGCGGGGGGGCCCCCGGGGGGCCCCCCAGGGGGGCCCCCGGGGGGCCCCTGGGGGCCCTGCGGGGTGTAGCTGTAGTTGTACACATACACCCGAGTGCCGGTGCTGCCTGCATCAATTACTACTGCCTTCCTCTTTATGGGAGCAGCAGCAGCAGCAGCAGCAGCAGCGGGGGGCCCCCGAAGGAGCGAAAAGAAGAGAAGGAGGATGAGGGGCCCCCAGGTGCGGGCCATAGTTAAGGGGCCCCCGGGGTGGGGTGTGAGTCAGCGTGGGAAGCGGGGAGGCCGCGGGCGCAGCAGCAGAACATGTGTGCAGCAAATTGCAAAAGAGGGGTGGAAGGAGCAGCAACTGAAGCTTCTGCTGCAGATCCCCGAGTAAAAAGAAGAAAGAAATCGATTGATACCTTTTAGAAGAGAAAGCGACGGAGAAGAAAGCGCGAAAAAGCCGCGGGCTTCAGCTCGGGTCAGGTTCCACGGGAACGAGGGAACAACTGCAAGAATCCGGCGCGATCCTGGGAATATTCGAAGTTCCCAAGACAAATTAGTCCCAGAAATGCGAAAAGATTCCCAAAATGCAGTTATTTCCTCCATTTAGAAAGTGGATTTCAGTGACGGGGTGGTGGCGTTGGCGGCATGCTCAGCTGTACATACACCTCGCGGCCCGCCCGCGCCCGCGCCTGCAGCCGCCGCAGATTCACTTTTTGAATTCCATTTTTTTTAATTTTTCTGTTGAATTTGAAATTTAAATTCGAATTAAACGCCCAGAAAGCTCCGACAGCCCGCGGACTGCCGCCCCCCCTGCCGGGACACCCCCCAGGGCGCCCGAGTCCACAGCGAAATACGTGTGAATTTGGTCTTTGAAATTACTTCGAGAAAAAAGAATTTCTGAAAATTAATTTAAGTCTTTTAAATGATCAGCAGCAGCTGCTGGCGACTTCGCCGCAAGACACAGTTCATTAAGTTCAGCTTTTCAAGTTCTTAAAAACGCACTTTGAGAAAGCAGAAACAAGACACGAAGTAGCAGCACCAAAAGGCGACAGCAGCAGAAGCAACACTGCAGTAGATCAGCAGCAAAAAAGTTTAAAATCCCTTGTTTGTTTTTCCGAAAATATTCTTTTTTCCCTTTTCTGAACTTCTATTTATTTCTGTTTTGCAACTCTTTTGCTTCACAAAACAATAGGGACAGAAGAAAACGAAAAGATGAATAAAACACTTTCGCTGCATTCCGCTTTTAAGAATTAATTGCACGCGCCTCTAAGCCTGCACTAAAATGTGCTATTTATTAATTTGTATTTAATTAATTAACTAACTAATTATTATTTGTTATTTATAATTCTTTTGATGTTTTGGATTTCTAAGTAGTCTTTTTGTTTATTTAAAAGTCCCCACAAATTCAAAAATGGAGAAAACTTTTTTCTGATTGCAAATGAGGAAATGGAGTGTACGTACACCTGGGAGAAGCTTCCGCTATTCGCCTGCAGTTCAAAAGCCAGAAACTCCTCTATTTCATTTAAATTTAAAAACCTTTTATTCCATTTACATTTAAAAATAAAATAGAGTTCAAGTGGGAAACTTTCTTTTTAAAGTGAAAATGGAATTCAAGTGGGAAAACCAGTCTTCGGCCGTAGCAGCAGCAGCAGCTGCAGCAGCAGCTCCAGTAACAGCTGCAGCAGCAGCTGCAGCAGCAGCTGCTGCCGCGTTGAAAGGGTTGATTATAAAAGAGGAAATGAACTCAATTTTAAATGACTTTTTCATTTACATAAATGCATCCCGGCAATCTACGGCGTCTGTACACCTCAATTTCAAACAAACAAATGAAACTTCCTTTTTATTAATAGATGAACACAAAAACTGTGGCAGCAGCTGCAGCGGGAACAGCTTCTGCTGCAGAAGCAGCAGCAGCACTGCTGCAACAGCTGCAGCAGCTGCAGCACCAACAGCAGCAACGCGAAAAGCTGCAACACCAACAACAGTTGCAGCATCCACACCTGCAACGCCATTAGCCGCAGCATCAACTGCTGCAGCAAAAGCCGCAGCAGCAGCAACAGCTGAAGCAACAACAGTTGCAGCGCCAACGATAGCAGCAGCAGCAACAGCTGCAGCAGCAGCACCTGCAGCAGCAGCTGCTGCAGCAGCTACCACGGCAGCAGCAACTCCCGTTCGAAAAAAGAACTGTAAATGAAAATGCAATTACTTTGCATGCATTTCCATAAAGTCAAACTGCTCGATTAAATCCACAATTAAATGTTTAATTTGCATTTAATTTGAATTATTTATCACCTGGTGTCGCTGCACGGGGTGTACGTACACCTCAGCGCAGCCACCGGGCTCACGGGGTGTACGTACACCTCAGCGCAGCCACCTGGCTCTCTCGCCGTGTTTTTTTTTCGTTCATATTTATTTATTTTGCGGCCTTTTTGAATAAATAAATTAATTTTGAATTTAAATTTAATTAAGAATGCATTTTATCCATTTGCAGACTTGGATCTGGTGAATTTGCTTTTCAACTTTGCGAGAAAAGACACTGGAAAGCTGCGGCTTTTTTTGACTTTTGCAGAATCTTCTTTGAAGTATAAATAGTCTTTTTCATTCCAATTATTATTTATTTTATTATCTTTTGCTTTTAAATAAGTTGCTGCTCCTTTAAAAGCCATTCTTTCTCTGTTCATTTGCTGCTGTGGGTTTACCCAGGAGGCTGGCGGGGGCCCCGGGTTTGTTGCTGCTCGTGCTGCTGCTGCTGCTGCTGCTGCTGCTCCTGCTGCTGTCATGGTGCGAATTGCTGCTGCTGCTTCCGTCCCGCCCCACCGCCCGCCAGGCCCATAAGCTTCTTGTTTTTTATTTATTTTTGTTTCTCTTTTCTTTTCATCTTTTTTCTTTTCATCTTTTTCCTTTTTTTCATTTTTTGCTGCTGCATGCAAATCTCTAGCTTCCCCGTCTTCTGCAGCAGCTCCTTTCCGCCTCCCCCACCAGCTGCTCCTCCTCTTTGTCTCCTTGCTGCTGCTCCTGTTACTGCTGCTGCTGCTGCTGCTGCTGTCTCCGTTTGCTGCTGCTGCTGCTCTCCTCTGCGTCAGCAGCTTCTTAAAATCTGCAGAACCCTCCGGTACCCTCCCAAAATAAGCTTCTGCAGTACTCATGTGACGGGGGCCCCTGCTGCCTGCTGCAGGGGGCCCCCCTGGGGGCCCCCATGGGGTCCCCCCCAAGGGGGCCCCTGGGGGCCCCCCTGGGGGGCCCCTGAGCCCTCCTGCTGCAGCAGCTGCAGCTGTAGAGCTTGTAGTGTAGTAGCGCAAGGGCCACAGCTGCTGCTGCTGGGGGCCCCCAGGCTGTGGGAAGCTGCTGCTCTTTCGAGCAGCAGCAGCAGCAGCAGGCACTTGGTCAGAAAAAACGACTCCTGCTGCTTGGCGAGGCCTTGCTGCCACTTTCTTTGCTGCTGCTGCTGCTGCTGCTGCTGGGGGGGCCCCCAAAGTCAAACATGCTGAGGGCCCCTTGAGAGTGCGCACTGAGGAGAGGTGCAGGGGCTTCCCCCTTTTGCTGCGGCGGCGTGCTGCTGCAGCAGCAGCTGCTGCTGGTGCTGCAGCAGCAGCTGCTGCTGAACTGCCTTCTGTTTTCTTTTCGTTACTTGCCCTTGTTGTGTCTTTCTGGGGGAACGCATCCGCTGCTGCTGCAGCTGCTGCCTCCTGCTCATCCGCTGCATGCGCGCTCCAAACATCCTCAGGCGGCGTATCAGCTTCTGCTGCTGCTGCGGATGCTGCTGCTGCGCGTGCTGCTGCTGCTGCTGCACTCTCCGGTAGAAGTTCGCCGCCCTCAGTAGCCTGCAGTGGCTGCCAAGGCGCTGCAGCAGCAGCAGCAACTGCTGCTGCTGCTGCTGCAGGGCTTAGGATGGGGGGCAGTGCTGCTGCAGCCTCTCTGTCGCCAAGGGCTTCTCCTTGGCGGCTGCGTAGTCGAGTGAGAGGTGTCCCTGCAGCAACAGCAGCAGCAGCAGCAGCAACAGCAGCAGAAGCAAAGAGAAAATTTGCGCGGCTAATCCAGCAGCACGTGTGGGGCCACTGCAGCAGCAGCAATGTGGTTTCTCACTTTATTATTGCTGCTAAAAGATAATTTCATATTAGCAGCAGCAATATATTCAAAATAAAATAATTGAATAAACAAATAACGTAAAGTATCATGTTACTTGTGGCTGAAGCAGCAAAGAGAAGCAGCAAATAGAAGCAGCAACATTGGTTGCTGCAGCAGCTACAAAACGACGAACCTTCAACAGCTCTGAGCCCCCCCTTCCTAGTGCCCAAGAAGCTGCTGCCGTTGCTGCTGCTGCTGCTGCTGCTAGCTGCTGCAGCCTGGACCACCTCGAACTTCCTTAGGAACTGCACTGACTGCGTGCTGCTGCTGCTGCTGCTGACGTGGGCGCAGACAGCAACAGAAGTTGCCACAAAAGGTACCAAAAGGGGCCCCGGGGGCCCCTCGGGGGCCTCTATGGGGGCCCCCCACTGCTGTGAACTGCCTACGGGACCCCTGCTGCTGCTGCTGCTGCTGTTGCTGCTGCTCGAAGCATTCCGGGGGCCCCTCTCTGCTGCGCTGGCACAGTGGCTCCCCTGAAACAAACAAAAAGACAAAAGTGCTGCTAATTAAATAAATTCTGCTGCTGCTGCTGCTGCTGCGAAATGCATGCACCCCCAAAAGGTGAGAAAGTGATTGCGGTGTATGTACAGCTTGCTTCTGCGCGGGCTTTCTCCTCGCAAACAACAACTTCTACTATTTATTTTAATTATTTTCCCATTATTAATTATTCTATTTTTAGATTTTATTTTCCATTTTTGCGTATTTTGTTTCCCCAGCTGCTTCTTTAAAAGCTCCTCGCCTCCTATGCACAACTGCTGCACTTGAATTGCTGCATAGACCCTGTGCCCTCACCGCCCCATCTCCCCCGCAGCAGCAGCAGCAGCAGCTGCTGCTGCTGCTGCTGCTGCAGTGGAGGCACTGCGCAGCAGGTCCACTAGGACTTAGTCAACAAACTGGCAAGCCCCTCCTAACCTGGCTTGCAGCAAACTCCTTCACTGCACACAAAACTTGGGTGCTGGCGCTGTGGCTTTCAACCACAAGTCCCCCGCTGCTCCACCGCACGGCCTGCGAGACCCTCAGAAAGCTGCCCTGCGGCTGCAGCAGCAGCTGCGGGGGCCCCCCAACTGGGGGGCCCCCCTGGGGGGGGCCCCCCACTTGGGGGCCCCCCTCAAGGGGGCCCCCCCACGCCCTTGCTGCCCCGCCCCAGACACTCCGAGGGTCCAGGGGGGCCCCCAAGAGCCTCGGGGGGCCCCAGGGGGGCGCAATGGGGCCTGGGAAGCTCATGGGGCTGCGGAAAGCTGCAGCAGGTGGAGTCTGTGCAGCATTATGCGAATTGGGGGAAAGCGGGGTTCAAAAAGGCACACATGAGCCCCAAAGTTCTCCTTCAATTCAAGTTTTTACTTTTAATGCCAAATAAAAGAAATAAAAACGAGAAAGCAGCAGAGTCGCAGCTGATCGCGGCGCGGAAACCGATGCTGTCGGCGGCGGAGGCTGCTGCTGCTGCTGCTGCGCCGTTTTACCTTCAGCGCAGCTCCAAAGTTAGCTTTTGAGTTTTAAGAAAGTAAAAATGTCCTTTTGAAAGAGTTTGAATGGAAAGGAAGAATTAAAAGCCGCAGGAGGCGACGCGGGCTGAGGCGTTCCAGTGGGCTGGACACACAGCGCCGTGTGCGCGCAGCGAAACGCTGCAGTTCGAGAAGATCCTCCGCGCCAATTAAATTAAAATGAAAGTCTAACAATTGGAAAGGAAAAATTAAATCAAAAAGTCCCAATTTAAAGGGAAGATCGCGTGGGCGAAGAAGCCGGGCCGGTGTCGGCGTCCGGCGCAGCGGCTGGTGCCTTGTGGCTGCTGTACAGTGCAGGAAGCCGAGTCTTCCGGGGAAAACATTTCAAATTCCTTCTTTTTGTTTAATTACCACTTCAAAACATCAAAAAGAAGTCCATTTGCATTTAATAATTCCAGTTTTCGAGCTGTCAGCCCCCCACGCTTCCAGGCGGGCTGCCGCAGTCTGCGGAATCTTGCAAGTTGTCGGCCTCCAGGCCGCTGCTCAACGCAGCGCTTCCCATTCAATTTTCTTTCTAAATATTCAAATTATAAATTGAAAAGCCTTTTGAATTAACAAATTCTTCCGATCTTTGGCGAGATGCGCCGCTGCGCAGCTGCGGATCGTGCATGATTCTGCATGCCAGTGACGCTGGCGGCGGCTGATCTGCATGTTCTGGCGCTCCTTTTACCGCCGGAAGCCCCCAGCTTCTCATTTATAGAAAGTGGAATTCAAAGGGAATGAAAAGAGCCGCAGACCTTCCATTTTGAGGCGAGTTTGAGGGAGTTTGGGGGCTGAAGAGCCCGGCCGGCAGCCCGCGGGAAGCTCTGCAGCGAAAATGGCCTTCTTCGGAGTCAGCACGAATTTAATTAACTGCGGAACTCCAAGTCCGAGTCAAAATGCAGAAAGCAGCGAAATGAGTCCTTACCAGGCCGTCCTGGTGTCTAGGGAGGTCCGCCTCCGAGGCCTTGCTGCAGCACAGAAGAACTACGCCCGACTGCAGCTCGAGTACAGCAGCGCCTACGCGGCCTACCAGCAGCTCCAGGTCAGCGACACAGCAGCAGCAGCAGCAGCAGCTGCAGCAGCAGCAGCAGCAGCAGCAGTGGTAGCGGCAGCAGCAGCGGTAGGAGGAGTAGTAGTAGGTAGTACTGGAACCAGCAGCACCGGCACCAGGGCCAGCGCCAGGAGCAGCAGCAGCAGCGGCAGCAGTAGCAGCAACAGCAGCAGCAGCAGCAACAACAGCAACGCCAGGCGCCTTTGTAGCTGCTGCTTCGTTCCACCACCCTGGGCGGCAGCAGCAGCTAGAGTTAGCGCAGCAGCAGCCACACGCGTTTGCTTCTAGCTCTTCCCGCTGCAGCTGCTGCTGCCGTTTTTGCTGCTTCTGCTGCAGCTCTGCAGCTGCAACTTCGACTGGGATTAGCTGCTGCTGTTTGCTGCTGCGCAGGCCGATGTTGCTGCTAAGGCGAAAGCTGTAGACTCTTATTTTGAAGGCCAAGAAGCAGCAGCAAAAGAAGTTTGCGAAAAAGCTGCTGCAGCAAAAGCCCTTCAACTTAAGGAAGGCGGCAACGACTACACCCACCCCAAATACGCAGCTCTTGTGGCTGGTGAAGTTTATTTATTTGTTTATTTATTTTATTTATTTATTTATTTTATTTATTTCATTTTACTTTATTTGAGTTCTTTTCGTTTGCTTTTGCACGGGCTTTCCGTGCATGCATGTAGGGGCGTTCGAGTGTATGCATGCAGTCCGGTACTGTGGCAGCAAAGACACTTGCAAATCTGCATGCAAAAGGACATATTTAATTCAAGCCTCCTCATTTATATCTTTTTATTTGTAATTAAGGTATTTAAATATATATGACTTGCTTTTGTCTCTACATATATGTGCATGCATACATATGCATGCATATATATATGCATGCATACATATGCATTTATGTGCATGCAGACGTGTGCATGCATCTATACATTTGCATGCATGCATATATTTGCATGCATGTATACATTTATTCACATGCTTATGTTTGCATGTATGTATACAGTTATACGCACGCATACATATGCATGCATATACACATTTATATGCATGCATGTATACATTTATGTGCATGCATACATTAGCATGCATATATAATTTTTATATGCATGCATATAGTTGCGTTGCTTATATGTATTTATGAATACAAATATATGCATGCAAATATAATTTTTATATGCATGCATATACTTGCATGCATATATACTTATATTTGCATGCATATATTTGCATGCATAAATACATATAAGCAACAGTGCATGCATGCGTTGGGAGGCAGTTTGTGTGTGTCACAAAGTGTTTCTCAGCGATTTTTTGCGTTAAATTGCTTTTTAAAAGTAATTATTGAGTCATTTTAAATAAATATTTTATTTTTGAACTTTATTTCTCTCAGGTCTCAGCTCAGACCGCCGGAAAGCTGTAGATGAGCTGCTGGTTCCTTATTTCATTTTCTTGAACGAACTGACAAGTGCAGAAGACGCACTTTGGGCGAAACACGGGGCACTTCAGGCGGCTCAAGTGGGAATTTGGCATTTATTTCTCAAGTTAATTGTTTATTTTACTTTTTAATGATTAATAAAATAATTAAATCTATTCTAAAACACTTATTTGCATGCTGAACTTGCATACAGCTGAACTCTAGGTGTTTGGGTGTATCCTCAGGTGCCTCTTTGCCTATTTGCTGCTGCACCTGCTTTCTTTTTGAATTTGAATTTGCTGCTTGTTTTCAGACCAATTTGTTTACTTTTTTTGATTCCTCTTGTCTCTCGTTCACCATGTTTGATTCTTTTCTTTTTAGTTTTGATGGGCTTGCTGCTGGTGCATCTTCTTGCTGCATTACATGAACTTGACGAGTGAATATTGAACATATAGAGGGTGCTGCAGCATTTGGCACGCAGATTGATGCTGCTGTTGCTGGTGTTGCTGCTTTTGCTGGTGTTGCTGTTGTTGCTGGTGTTGCAGCTGTTGCTGCTCTTGTTGAGGTTGCTGCCGTTGCTGCTGCCGTTGCTGCTGCAGGTGCTGCTGATACACTTCGCAAATGTTGGTGGCGACACCTTTGTTATTCACCAATTTTGCTGCTGCTGCTACTGCTGCTACTGCTGCTGCTGCTGCTGCTGCTGCTGCTGCTATGTTCAGGAGGTTTACAATTTGTGGGGTGTGGAGCTGCAGGCTGCCGACTGGCAGCTCCAGTCGATGCCTGCGGAGCCGCAGCTGTCTTCAGAAAGAGTGGGTTTTAATTTGCATTTAATGTGCATTTAATATTTTATTTATTTATAATTATTAAAAATATTATTTTTAATTAAATTTCCTTATTTGCTGCTCTTCTTTGCCCCTCCAGATCAACTCACTGCTGCTTCAAATACAGCCAAATGCGCAGTCTTAGCTGCAGCAAAGTCTTACACACATATATAAATATATATATATATATGTTTTTTATTTATTACATTTAAAAATATAAAAGTGCAGAAAAAGAAATAAATTCAGTTGTGGATTTAATTTTGAATTGCGGAAACAAAATGCTTTGTTTGTGCATGCAGAGCTTGGCAGAAATTCGCTACTTGGCGCAGCGCGTGGCTGAAATTCGAAAAAAGAAAATTTTAAAAAGAAAAAAGGAAAAAACTGTTGTGAGGCATTTGGTGGACGAGACGCAAACCCAAGACAGCAGCAGCCAGCCGCCGGCCCCGCAGGTGATGCAGTTAGTGAACTTCAAAGTTTTAGTCCAGTTACGTGTAGTGGCAGCAGCAGCAGCAGCAACAGCAGCAGCAGCAGCAGCAACAGCAACAGCAGCAGCAACAGCAGCAACAGCAGCAGCAGCAGCAACAGCAGCAGCAGCAGCAACAGCAGCAGCAGCAAAAGTGGCAGCAGCAACAGCAACAGAAGTAGCAGTAACAACGACAACTGCAACAGCAGCTGCAACAGCAGCAGCAGCAATAGCAGCAGCAATAGCAGCAGCAGCAGCAACAGCAGCAAGAATAGTGGCACCTGCTGCAGCAAATCAATTCACAAGCAGCACGCCTATGTTTGTCCACTATTGCTTCTGCAGTGTACGCGTCAGTCTTGCTTCAAATGCAAATGAACGCAGCAGCACATTTAGTTTATAAAGACAATTTTAGTTTATAAATACATATTTAATTTATAAATACATATTTAATGTATAATTGCATATTTAACTTATAAATGCACATAAAATTTAAATTGCAAATAGCATAAAGCTGGAGGAATGCATGCAACTGCGTGCTTTTGTTCCCATTAAAATAGAATTAATAAGTGGATAAATACAAATACTGCAATACTACTACTGCAGACAGTAGAGAATAATTGTATGTGAACAAGACACTGCATGCATGCAAGAAATGACAGCAATTAACAAGTAGATAATAATAATTAGTAATAAAATGTTTTTGAAATAATCAAATTTTGTGAATTTTGTTTTCTTTTTTTTTCAGCGCCCTTCAAAAGCCTCTGCTCCTTGTTTGGCGTCTTTCGCGATTTGCAACACAAAAGAAACCAAAAAGAAAAAAGAGAAGAAACCCGATTTCGACGCCAGCAGTTGGCTTTGATAGCTCCTAAACCCTAAACCCTAGGGCCGAAACTCGCCACAAACGCAGTGCGTAAACCATTGAATAGCTAGGCCCTGCAGAAAACCCTTGAAAGCCCTAAACCCCAAACGCTGAGGCTTCGGGCTTCGAGGCAATAACCAAAACTCTGAAATGCGACGAAACATAAACGGGAAAAAAAGATTCAAGAAATTAGTCGTACAGTTTATTTATTTTCTCTGTACAGATCCAAACCTTTTTTATCTGGAATTAATACAGTTATTCAGACCTTTGCAATGCATGTTAACCATGAAATGTTATGACAAGCGGCAGTAGGATACATCCGCACATATTTCTACCTTTCCAAATAAATAACTACAACAATATCTACAGCATTGTACCATTCTTGTTGAGCATATGTAGCTCCACTTGAAGGAAAAAGTACATAATAAACTGGCTGAAGTATAGAACTAAAGATCTGTCTGCTTATGCAAGGGTTTCTGCATCCTCTGCATGGGAAGTTTCCGTCATTCTCTTCGTCCTCAGTTTCTTCGCCACATTAATAGGAAAATTTACAACAAAATATTATCGAAGTTTTCAGAAACCCAACAAGTCGGGGAAGCCCCAAACTGCACAATTCAACTAATGCGCCGCATGCAGCTTCGCCCTTCTATACATTTTGCTGTTCGCTGCTAACTTGTGGATTTAAGCAGCAACAGGCGGAGAAAATCTCGAGAAAATAAATAAAATAAAATGACAGAAAGGTGCCTCCAAATCCGCACCACTTTGGCGTTGTTCTTCAAACCAAACGGCTGCACCCAGTTGCCTCCAAGACGAAGAGGGTTTCCCCCGCTGTCATAAATCCAAAGAACACTTCAATTACCAGATATAACCACTTAATAAACTAATAATAAACATAATTTGCCACTTCGCCAGCATTTGACGCTGCAGCAGAGGCGCACTGAGAGCTGCCTCGCGGAAACCTGAATCCAGGAAGCAAGAACAACATTAGTTCATGCCATCTGCTTCTTGCAGCTGCTGCTGCTGCTCCTGCTGCTGCGAGCCCTCTTCCAGTGCAGTGTAGAACCTCGCAACTGCCTCGAGCACCTGCGGCTGAGTCTTCTGCAGCGCCTGCAAACCCGCTTTTAGGGTTTGGCCGACGTACGCAGAAGCATCTGCTGCTGCTTCGCGCAGCTGCTGCTGCCCCACAGCCACTTTGCCCTTCAGCAGCGCAGCAGCTTGCTGCAGCTCCTCCGCAGTGGGCTGTAGCGCCGTCTTGAGTTGTTTGGCGAACTTTTCAATTGCAGCTTTCACCTGTTCCGCAGACATCCTCTTGCCTGCGGGTGTTGCTGCTGCTGCTGCTGGGTCCGCCGTTTCCGCTGCTGCCGCTGCTGCTGCTGCTGCTGCTGCTGCTGCCTGCTCCAAGGACGCCAGCGCCTCCTCAGACAGCTCAAGAGAAGTTGCCAACTCCTCGAGGCCCTGGGGCCCCTTCTGCTCAACAAATGCCAGCAGCTGCTCCAGAGCTGCTGCAGGGTCGGGGGCCCCCCCGTTGGGAACCCCAAATTCGGATTGGAGGCCCTTTAATGCTTCTTTTGCAAAGTCTTGAACTCCTTGAAATTCTTTTTCCAGCAACTTCTGGAGGCCCTGGGGGATCTCGGGGCCCTCGAGCTTCGCCCCGAGTCCGAGCAACTGGCGCAGCGCCAGCTGCCCCAGATCGTCCTGCTGCTGCTGCTGCTGCTGCCCTCTGCCCTCCTCCTCAAACCGTGCTGCAGCAGCAGCTTCTGCTTCAACTAGTCCTTCGAAGAGCTTCCCCAACTCCCAATCCGGCTCTTCCTCCTCAGAGGATTCCCCCTCATGCAGAACTCGCCTGCGGCGGTTCCTCCTCGCGCCCCTCCTCAAGCTGATGCTGCTGCTGCTGCTGCTGCTGCTGGTCCGCTTGCGCCTGCTGCTTGCTGCCAGCCGGCGCCCCCTGATGCCGTCCACCTCGTCAAACAAGTTTCCAAAAAGAGGCTCATCATCTTCAGCTTCCTCCTCTTCATCTCCGCTGCTTCCCAGAGCCTCAACGGGCTGCTCATCTCCGCCCCCATCAGCAAAAGTTGACGAGCTGTCAGTCACCCCCTTGCTGCCCTCAGGACTTCCTGTTGCTGCTGCCTCTGCTGCTGCTGTCTCGGAAGATATGCTGGAACTCTCGCCCGAAGAGCCAGATTCGCCTTCTTCAAGGCCCTCTTCCTCCTCCCCCTCTGGGGCCCCTGGAGGGGCCCCCGCAGGGGCCCCCGAAGGGGCCCCCGAAGGGGCCCCCGAAGGGGCCCCCGAGGGGGTCCCCGCTGGCTCTACAGCTTGGGTTTCTCCGGGGGATTCGAAAGTAGTAAGGGCCGGTGGGGGCCCCGACTGGTCCACTCTTCCCTCAGGTATATCTTCTCCAAAGAGCGGTGAACGGCCCCAGACAAAAGGGTCAGAAACCAGAGGCCTCGGGGTGCCGGAGTCCTCCCTTGATCCTACAGATTCATCTCCAGGAGCCACCACTTCTCCCCCAGAACTTGAAGACCCTACGCGTCTTCGAAGAAAACCACCAGAAGCAGCAGCAGGCTCTGGCTCTGCTGCAGCAGCTGTTGCTGCACAGTAGGCGTGCGTGAGCAGCACACCACAGACGACGAACTTGAGTTGCCGAGACAGCCTGACCATCTTCGGCGGAAGCACAAAAAAACGCGGGTGATCTGTTGTAAAAAGAATATAAAAAGAATTTGAATTCAATTCGCAAAGTTGCAAACGAACGAAAACAAAATGGAATATCTGAATGATGATCGGCTGATACTTGCTGCCCTCAATGCTCGTGGAGCGATGCCCGGCGCGCGGCGCTTTTGGGGAGGGGCTTTCTAAGAGGTGCTGCTGCTGCTTTTGCTTATTTTGGCGAGTTGAACTGCACAATTTTTCGGAATTGAATGCATTTTATCAAAAGTATCTCACTTTAAACTTTAACTCCGTTTATATCGCGCCTTTGGGGTCACCCAGTCCGGCCGTGACCACTGGCACAGACAGAACGACCCCGTGCCGGCAAGCATTCGACGCGTTCGCGGGCAAGGCAGGTTTTTTAGTGCTTTTAATTTAGATTTATGGAGTTTTCCAACAATTATAAACAAGATTTAGAGTTTATTGTTGAGGTGCAGGGCTCAGGGGCAGTTTTACCAGGCAGGCGTGGGAGCCACTCGGACACACCAGGATTGGAGGGTGCAGGTTCCACAGTGCTTTCTTCAACACTTCGTGGGTGCCGTCCTTTTTAATATTCCATATATCTTTTCATATCTCAATTTATGTAATTAGTCGTGTCTGAGAAGGAAATTCGGACACAAGGCGTAGGACAAGAAGCAGGCAAGGGGGTGTCTTGGAGTTCTCATCCCGAGCTTCCTTCGAGGAAGCAATTTCTTTACAAATGCTGCAGATCTGGAACTACCGCTGAATAGAAGATAATCTGTTTTAAACAGGGAACACGATGCATTTCATAATGGAGGCAGCTGGCGAGGGAAACCCATTACTTGCCACTCAGACTTCCACGCTGATAAACCAGTCTTTACAAATTGCTAGATCGTTTGACCCATTAAGTAAATGTAGGATCCCGGAAATCTGCTTTCAATTAGTTTTTCTTCACCGTCAAAACCCTGGTGAAGGTGCTGCGGTTGCAGCCGGAGGAAGTGCTTGGGGACACACAGAGGACTGCAGTTTACTTTTTCTTCAAAGGGTAGAATGATCTTGTTCATGGAAACTGATCCTGGAAAGTCAAAATATAATTATTAGAGTGAGCTTAATTGGTATGGACATTCCAGGTTGCAGCAAATGTACCATGTAGGGAGCTTTTTGATACTGAGCAGTACCGTTTCAAGACAAAGCCTGGAGCCCAAGATGCTAAGCCCTTAGGCCCAAATGCTAAACGCCAAACTATAAGGCTTAAACTCTTGAAATTATGTTTAAAGAGCGTCTCTGGCATTTGCCTATTTCTCACGCGGCTCACAGTTCAGTCATTCTTTTATAAATGTGGCGGGTGTCCTTAAAACAGGTACTTCAAACTCTTGCTTGCGAAGGATACTATTTACAGTACAGCAGCAGTGCAATGATTTCACTCTTGTATTTAGGGTTTAGGGTTTGGGGGCTAGGGTTTAGGGTCTAAATATTGCGAAAGTCCAGCAACACGCTATCAGTGCCACCTTCAGCTCTTGATGGTAGCGGCGGTACTTTATTGACGAACTATGACTTCTAAACTAATCAGTTTGGATTATTCGTAAGTACTCTTTGTGGAAAATTTGTCCAAACATTTAATTCATGCATCCATTTATCAGAATAGGCAACTTTAAGACTGAAACGTGAGTAGAGGCCTCAGAAGCAGGCTTTTACTTCAGGGTTGCGTAAAAGCTTTAGATGATCACTAGAAGAATAAAGACACGATAGACAAGAAAAGAAACTAGAGTTTAAAAGGCTGTCAAGCTGTGACTCGCTCGTGTATCTCAAATGCAATGAATGTGAACATCGCGAAGCAGACATGCAAATAACAAGGATGTTGAAATGATGATATCAGCTGCAGAGTTATTGTTCAGTATGAGGCAATGTTTGCATTAAAACTAAAAAAAGGAAACATAAATCAGACAATTCCATTTAAGATGAGCGAAGGACAGAAGGGGGCCCCAGGCGTTGGCGCCTGCGGCACAAGGACAAGCGGGGCATTACCTGCAAATCCAGATATCAAATGCAGAATAAAAGAACAAAGTAAATCCATGAATTGTCAAAGGAGTGACAAAAATCTTGGCATATTCTCGAGAAAACTGAGCGTAGCAACTTTCTTTTTTTCGTGTTCGCCCGCTCAGTCTTCATCTTGACTGTATGATTTCTGCATAATTTGCATGCACCCTTTTGCAGCTGCTTCAGCAAACATATATTTGCAAATATATTTGGATGAGAGTGTGATTAAAGAGCAGCTATGTCGCGTGCAGAGAGAAAATAGAATAGAGGTTTAGATCAGAAAGCCCAGAGGCTGAGTGATGCGTGTTAAGATGCAGGGTTTGTTCCTGGCATTTGCAGTAGAGCTTATGCCCATTTAAGTTGCTGTATTCTCTCTCCCAATATACTTTTTTCTTGAATTTGCATTGCTGCATGCGTTTCTTTGTCGCTGTCTAGCGCCATTACCTGCTTTTTCCGCGTCTGCCCAGCAGCAAAGGAATTGCACATTCAAGAAATGCTGATCTAGAAAGCAGGGGAAGCAAAAAAGAGGAAGTGTAAACAGTAGAGAGAACTGTAAAGAGATAATGTGATAGTCTAAATGGAGAGGGGCTTCGGGAATATGTCCGTCTCAATTAGAATGTCTTCCTTCCAAACCAAGAACAGTTAAGTGCTGCATCGATTGCAAGCCCGTCTAACCCCAGCAGCAGAATGCAGAAGGTGCCAATAACAAAAGAACCAGTAATGTGACCACTTGTCACGTGAATTGGCAACGAGGAGAGAAAAGAATGAAAGCCCCTAGAGGCAGCAAAGTACACAATACACGCTAAAAGAGTAGTCCTTAGCCGTTGTTCTGTAGCTCTCCTTATCACTACTGAGACCACTGGACCACTGACTGTGCCTACAGCCCGCCTCTTGCAGGCAGGAGAGAGCTATGAAGAAAACAAAAATCAAAGGTCGGCGTTATTTGAAAAGCCTGGCAGCAACGCCGCAAGTGCAGCAGCAGCAAGCTGCAGCGCGCAGCAGCAAGCCGCAGCACGCGCTGCTGCAGCCACGCTCGCAGCATCAACGAGAAAAAGGAAAAAGAATACTCCCTAGCTTTCTACAAAATGCGTTTCGAGGCTGGCTGGGCCCCCAGAAGGTGCTGAAATGCGGGAGAAAGTCCCCAGCTTCCTGAGCCACTTTAGCTACCCAGTCTTAGTTCAAGCACTTCACTTTCGGCCAGAAACCTCTTGCTATGTTCCCACTTTGCCTTTCTTCCTTCGCCAGCAGCAGCTCTTTGGGCCTGCTGCTCCTGCCAGAGACAAACATGCAAAATCTGCGGGCCAAAAGGCCCTCAAAAGGCCTTTTCGCGAAAACGCATGCAGCGGAGCTTTTGAATTGGCAGAAAGCCCCAAACTGGGGCCTCTGCAGAAGCTTGCTGCCCCCATTTTCACTCAAAAAGACGAAATGATGTGCTGGCGGGCACACTGAGCCACGCCGGCGAATAAATTTGAAAAAATAACAAAGTATGAGCAAGAAAACAAAGTCAAAACACAAAATTCAGAAAAAATTCAAAGAACGCCCCTTTGCCCAAGCTTAAGCCACGCTGCTGCAGTTCCCCCTGCACTGGCTCGGGGCCCCCGAGGGCCGATCCTTTTCCTTTTGCTGGTGTGGGGCTCCAGGCTTGGACTGGCAGTTGACCAGTGGTCCACACAGGGGCTTGCTGCTGCTGCACTGCTCGCAGCAGCAACTTTCACAGGCCAGGTGACCCTCGCCAGCGGTGGGTATAAATGCCTTTGGGGCAGTAAATGCAGCTGAGCGGATACGCGGGGCGCCCAGAAGAATCATTGGAAAGGCAAGTAGGTTTCTTTTCTTCTTCTGGCGGGCCGGCAGCTGCTGCAGCTGCTGCTGCTGCTGCTGGCGTCGCTGCAGCAGCTTCAGCAGACACGGGGTGTGGGTCAGATGGCCGCGCTTCTGCTGCAGTTCTCGCTCCTGTCTTTTTCTGTTTCTTTTGCACTGAAGAGTCCAGTTTCTGAGTTAGAGCAACAACGCGGGAATTGAGAGGCGGGAGAGCCGAACGAAGCACCCCCCAGTTCAAGAAACTGGCCGAGTTGCGCACGGCAATGCCTTCGATGCTGCCGCCCAGCATTGCCTTTTTCTCCTTTCTCGCAGTCATTTTCGCAAATAAAGGTAAATAAAACCTTAAATTCGGAGATTTTATGGAAGGATCCCAACCTCACGCGCCCAATGATGGGCCGCAAGACATCCCGCCACTGAAGACTCAGCGGCGCCAGCAGCAGCTGACCACCGGACCTCGTCCATGAAGACCCCCCTAGAACAGATGTTTAAATGACTTCTCGTAATTAATTTTCGACTTTTTCCCAGTATTTAATATTATTTAAAGTATTTATTGCGTTTCGGGACTCGAATGCCTCTCGTGGAGACGTCGCCCCCTCCCCGTTATGTGTCGCATTCATACATTCATACACCCAATGAAGCAGCCAGACGCAACGCACGCATTAGGCTTGAAAAATGAACTGAAGAGCTCTAGGAAAGCTTAATTCGGTATAATTGAGCCCTTTTATGCGGTGTGCTGCTGCTGTTGCTGCTGCAGCTGCAGCTTCTGCGGGCTCTAGAGAGGCTCAGTGAGGTATTAACAAGCCTGGGTCTAGGGAACGGTGCTGCTGCTGCTGCTCCTGCCTCCACTTCGGCTGCAGCGTTTACTTCCGTTGCTGCTCATTGTCGCTGCTGCTCTGCTGCTACCTTAGTGCCCTTTCAGTGAGACGCCCTTTAGCGACGCTGCTGCTCCTTTCAGGCCAAATGCAGGGGGATCTTGTCGCTCCAAAGCACATACTGGGGTAAATGCAGCCGTCTCGGGAAACACAAGTTTTATTCATGTCAGTGGGTGCTCATGAACAGCCCAAATATGGGCTGGTTCCAGTTTGCAAACTTCCTCTTTTCCACATGTATTGCCCTTCGAGTGTAATAACAGCTGCTGCAAAAGGGTGCCGTCTATGCCCTATATGCGCAGGCGCAGCCCAATACCAGCGAGAAGGATCTCCTCCTCGCTATTTTAATGTATAGCATAAATATATATACATATGTGTGTAAATATATATACCCTAATTTTACACATACGTATATACGTATATATAATAAAATATATAATATATATATTTAATACATGAATAAAATATATATATATATTATATATATATATACATTTGTATATATGCGCATATACGAATCCGCATACTGTTGTAAATAGCTGCAGCAATATAAATTTATTGGGAGCTGCAGCTGTGCAGTTCCCCCCAACTTGAACACAGCCAGAGGAGCTCAAGATGGGCTGTGGGTGCAGCTCCAGGCCTCTGTAGATACTTTTTGACTTTTTCTGAAGTCAAAAAAGTACTACTTGGGGCTTTTTGTCTAACTGTGATTGCACAGGGCACTGCAGGCCATTTGAATATAAAAAACGCGCCAATGCACTTATACTTGTTGACATAAAGCACAGCCGGGGGCACTTCCTCTCTAGGGGGCCCCCAAGCTTCTATCTGTAAACCCCTGGGGGCCCCGCAGCCACCCCCGGGCCCCTGCTGCTGCGGGGGCCCCCGCAGCAGCAG